CCCCCCCCGTGCCTACTCCTCCAGTAGCCCCACTCTGATCATGTGAGCTACCCCTCCTCATCCCCTCTCGTAACACCTCCCTCTACACACCTGCCCTGCCTCTCTTCTCTGGTGCTGGTCCCTCCCCTGCAGGTGTCTACCCTTCTGCTTCACCCCCAGAATTGCCTGGCACCTGTACCTTCCCTTACCCCTGCACCCTCTTGGTGTCCCCCTTCCCTCAGTGCCTCTGCCCCCTTTTTTCCTGATGCCCACCACCCTCTGCCCCCATTCCCTTCATGCTCCTGTGCCCTCACACATGCCTTGCTCCATCCCTGCCTTTCTCATTCCCACCCCTTCTTTCAAGCCTTCTCCCAGCACCTCCCCTTCTCCTCTCTAGCCCCCAAAACCCTTACCCTCTCCTCTCCCAGCATCACCCTGTCCCCCCTCCCACTGACACCTCCCCTCCTGCCCTTTTCCTCATTGTCTCCACTTGGCCCTCTGGCATTTGCCTCTCCTCTACCCTGTCCCTTAGTGCTTTCCCCTTTCTTCTCCTGATCTGCTCCCTCCCTTCAGCACAATCCCCTTCCTCTCCCACCCCTTCCTCTTATTTTTCCCCCTCCTCTCCCCTTCCCTTCCTTCCCTTCGGCTTCTGCCTCCAATTCGCAGGGCTGGAGTCAGAGCTGGCCCAAGCTACAGGCCGACCAGGCCCTAGCTGGGGCACCCCCAGGACGCCGCACGGTGCTGCCAGGCTGGGCAGGGGTGTCCCCGGGGCGCCTCGGGGGGACTGTGCGGTGCTGCTGGGCCGGGCAGGAGCATCCCCAGGGCGCTGCGTGGTGCTGCCGTGCGGGGAGGAGGGTGCCTCAAGGGGTGGCCGCACGGTGTCCCCAGGGCACCTGAGGGGGCGCCGCGCAGTACTGCCAGGCTGAGGGGAAGGTGCCTCGGGGGGGCCACACGGTGCTGCCGGGCCGGACGGGGCGCCCCCGGGTGCCTAAGGGGCAGTGTTGCTGGGCCTCGTCACAGCCAGGCGTCTCCCCTCTCACCTGTTCCGCGGCATTTCAGCACGCCGCACATGCGCACTCTGCCCCACAGTGCCCCGTAGATGGCCGTGGGGAATTTAAAGTGAGGGTTTGTGGCGCTCCGTCACAAATTCCTCTCCTCCTCCAGCAGTCACTAGCTGGCCCAAGACATTAGGGTGTGCCTAGGCACACCCGGCATCACAGCCAGGCGTCTCCCCTCTCACCTGTTCCGCGGCATTTCAGCACGCCGCACATGCGCACTCTGCCCCACAGTGCCCCGTAGATGGCCGTGGGGAATTTAAAGTGAGGGTTTGTGGCGCTCCGTCACAAATTCCTCTCCTCCTCCAGCAGTCACTAGCTGGCCCAAGACATTAGGGTGTGCCTAGGCACACCCGGCACACCCTGTACGCATGCCTATGGTAATATCTGAGGACACAGTAAATGCATTTTCGATTGCTAGATGGAATGTTCAGTTGAATTGCAGCAGGTGGGTAAGAGCCTTTGTAAGAGCATTAAGACTTGCCGGCTGAAAGCTTGATTGCTGGGACCTAGCTGACACTGCCAGGAAGGGGCTCTAATTGGTTCATTCATAGTTTTACTTGCAGTTAATAAAGCCACAAATCATTAAATGGGTCAAGATTGGAGCTGTGGTGACTTAAGTTTTCCTGCAGTGGCTTTGAAAAGTACCTAACATCTGTATCAGACAGCACCTGGTCCTGGGGACATGGTCCTTCGTCTAAGAGAGCAGAGTGAGCAATGAGGTAAAATTGCCAAGCGTGCAACCCAATGGTTGCACAAATTATCTGAGCCCAGGGCATAGGAAACCCAGGATCATTAGATGGCCTAAATGGACATCACTGAGTAAAGTTGGGGAAAAGAAGGTAAGTTAGCAGAGGTGTCTAGGGATGATCCCCCATCTGGGACTGCCCCAGGCTCCTCAGCTGCCATTTTGGGAGCTGGGGGAAGCTGCAGCCACACTTACCTGGTCAGTGTGGATTTTTCCCCCTGTTCGCTGTTACTAGGAAGTGAGGAAAAAGTGCAGAGCCTGCTGTGTCCTCTTGCTCTGGCTGCCCCAGAGGGGCAGAAGAGAAACGCATCCCCTGAAATGACACCCCACACACACTCATCCCTAAGCCCCCCTTCCCTGAATCCTACATCTTCCATATCTGCCCTGCTTTGAGTT